GAACCGTGACGCAGTCTGTAAAATTAAATAATTGCGTTTCATTAAATGCCGTTTGCTATTTGCATAGGTTCTCCCCTCTCGCAAACGAAGTGCAAAGCAATTTGGCATAAACGTCATCGGGTCGAATTGGCGATGGGCGGTGTTTGGAAATCTGAGAATCCCGCCCCACAATTTTCCACGCCACTTGAGCGTAATTAAGCGTTCAGCTTCTAAGCCCTGAGCAAATAAGAAACCCGTCGAGCGTCTCCACTCCAGACCCTACCCCACTCGCATTTGGCGCGATTATCCACTACCTGTATGCTTTATATACGATGCGAAGCAGTTTGCGCATCGAATCGATGCTATTTTGATACTGGTAAATATTTGCAATTGGCCAACATGTGACTCGGTCGCTATGGTGCTGGCTATTTCTGGATGAGCGTCAGGTGAGAATAATCCCAATCCCAATAACCCCAGCTCGGTCGCAGTTGTGAAATAGTTTGCGCCCAGTCAAAGAGTCAACAATCTGTGGGGGATCTGGTCGATCTGGGCATTTTCCATAAGGTTATCACGCGCATATCCAAAAGCAACAGCCTGCTCACAAACAAGCTGCTCAAATTTCCCTAATGGCTCAGAGTTCGTTTGCCCCATGAAAAGCGATACCTATATCGGATCCACCGCACTAGAAAAGTGGCTGCAAGGAGCAAACAGCAGGGGATAACTGTGGACAAAGATCAAGTGATCCACTTAAAAAATACTTGGAATACTCCGAGAATAATTGGGTAAATTAAACATATATGCATTATACATTACGCATTATATACATATATAAATGGTCGCGATAAAAAGGATTTCATATTGGTAGATCTAAATTCATTCAAAGTGAATTTATTTTTTTGCTGTGTACTGCCCCTCCTTATCCCCATCCAGACCCCCCTCCCCCCTGCATGTTTACACAGGCGGCACGACATTAACACTGTAATTAGGTGTATCCAGTGGATCCATTGCGACATACGAGTATCAACAACACATTGTCAACTTCTGGCTTCTGGCCGGGCTAATTGAAAAGCTCTTTTGCACATGTCCATTTATCTATATAACAATAAAGTGGGCGGTGGGCGTGGCCGGGGTCAGTGCATTGCCAATTGAAAGGGGGCGAAAGGGGCGTGGCCGTTTCGTAGTATTACTAACCGTTGCCTGGGACAACGTGCAACAATACCCAATATGTCTACAGTTTGATGGGCGTTGCTCTAAAACTGTTTTTACACAGTTTGAGAAGAACTGAAAAGGAGCGTAGAATGTGAATTTTAATGCCTTTAGGTCAATGTAAGGTATTTATAAAATATTTTGTATTTAAAACGATTTAATTACTATATATATATATATTGATTTCCAAAGAAAATCAGTAAATCGGAGAGCCATTCTGTAAGCAGTGCTGGCCGGCCAATCATCGCATTTGCATGCTATTCGCAACACTCACCCATTTCAAGATAAAACCAAACTTGATCTTAATTGAGAGCCTAATTAAAACGCATCGAATTACAGGCGACCCCGGCCATGCAATTAAAATCGAACAACACGCCGGCTGATGCGTCGCCGCTGATAAATTCGGAAATGCCAATCGGATGAAAGGGCCACAAGAGCAAATGTTTTCCGAACGGCAAAGATCCACCGCCACCGTCGCCTCTGTGATAGCCCAGCTTGTGCGTTTTCATTCTCCGTCGATTTGCTTTGGTGTCTGGGCGTTTCGCCGGTGAGTCAACAACGCGGGATGTCGCCGGCACTGAGGTTTCTCCGTTTTGTTCTCTTGTTGACCAATCTCTGTCACGCCGAAAATGTTCGCGAGTTCAAAGTACAAGTGGTCCAATTATATTGCCAAGAAGTGCGATTGCTCGTCCGCCAACTGACAGAGGGAATTCCACGGAAGATATACACGGCATACACGACAGACTAATTAAAATCGGTAGTTATATTGGCAAACAATTTGTCTATGCGGCCTATACAATTACACAGATGTAGAGTTGTATGAGGGACCATGTACATTGGTAACTAAGACTAAACAATGCAACTTAGGCTACGCAAAGGAGGGGTGGCAACAATCTATACACTTATCAACTAGGGTACGTAATGCACTAATCAGAGTCTCGATCCGAACCGGGTCGGAACGGATCCGCAGTCGTTGCTTATCGTTAGTGTCATAAGCCGTACTTAAGGTATAACAAGGACTTAAAGTGATCTACTGTACACCAGGCGCTGTGCTGCCTTAACCATCACCAGTCGTCCCTGGGCAGCCGGTACGTGGTGTTGTCGCTGCGCACGATGTGGATGCCGGCTCCGTAGTAGGGTATCACATAGGCGGAGCCATCCGCCGGACCCACAACCTGAAGGGCTATCAGCACAATGTCGATCAGCTGTCCCAAGAACATGCCGCCGAGGGTGCAGAACTTGAGGAGTCCGATGCCCGGATAGCCCAAATAGAACCTATCCACGCCGAACATTCCCAGAAAAACAGAGAGCAACAGTGTGGTGTCCAGGTGATAGCCATTCCTAAAGATACAGTTCTATAGATAAAGTTTATGAAATAGTTTAGCTGCACTCACGTCCACTTGCAGGGCACTTCCCTGGTGAAAGTGGCATTGCCCGTCTCCGTGCAGTTGATCTCGTTGGCGGCGATGCACCAGACGCGGGCGCGACCCTCCTTGGTGCATCCGGCCAGCTGCTGTGTCTTCGGATCGATTTGACCCCTCGCCGGGTCCGGGCACATGAACTGGCCCATCATCTGGAGCTCGTTGCAGTCAACATTGATCTGGTGGGTTACCTTGGCGAAGAAGAAGAGGAGAAGCAGCAGCACTGGGAACATGGATGGTCTGGTTTCGGCCTCTTCGGTTGGCTATGTGGTGGTGTACTGATGGCGGGGGCTCGTGGACACGGGCACTATCTGTTGTCGTGTTCGTTTTCGATTCCGAATTCGATGTTTTGTTTATTGCAGTTCGCGGGGGCAGGCTCCAAAATTGTTGTTGTTTCTTAACATTGGCATTTTGGGATTGGGGCAATGTGACCGCATTCAGAGCGGTCGGAAATACCACTGTGCAGAGTTCTAAAAATATACCGTGCTGTAAAGTATTCTGTAATGTAATGTCAGAAAATAACAGCTCTTTTACAGAAGACACAATTAAAAAAAAGGTCGATGCACGATAGCTTCGGCACTTTGGCGGAATATTTAAATTAGAAATAATAAACCAGTTAAGTTTCCTTCATTAATTTTGTCATTGAAACAGGCCTCCCTGTTTATTAAACACATACTTCTTACAGTTAAGCAAAACCTTGACATTCCTAACATTGTTTACTGTTTCAGGAGATAGAGCGTCCTGAAATGTTATGGCCACTTTGGATGTCTGGCCAAAGGTACGTTCTATGCGACCTTTTTCTCCCGTGGAAAGTTCCACGTTCTTGCCGACGTACAAATCGCGTTTAGACTCTTTCTTAAAAAGGTTTCCAACTATTACTTCGTTGGTATTGACGACACGCTGAATGCTTCCCACTTTCTGTTTTCGCTTGAAAATCCGCAGTTTTGGCAGTTCTTCCTGGATGTAATTAGAACTGTGCGTCTGCCAGGAAATGCTTCCCCAAAATGCCAATCTACAACTAGTACTATGGACATCCATGTCCAGTTTAGATGCAATCAGCGTTGAATGTGGCGGAGCTAGGACAGGGTTTTCGAATTGCAACAGAGCGTAGATCAGGTCAGACCGTTGAACCTCCGCAGGCTGGACGTCCTCCATATACTCGTACTCTTTCTCCAGTTGAAACGTGGAAGATGAGCTGTCCGTATCCCGAAACAAAGTTACATTGGCCATCACTGTGTTGTGTCCTACTGAGATATGCAGCTTGCTCGTAGATTTTATGACTTCTTTGTAGTAGCGGATTGGTTCGAACTGTAGGCACACGGCGTAGATGGGTTTCAGGTAACCCGGTTGAGCAATGATTCCGCGTTCCAACAACTTTGCATTGAATTGTGTAACACAAAGACCAATTCTGTCGCCCATGGAGGCGCTTTTCACGTTTTTGCGGAACATCTGCATGGATTTCACTTTCCTTTGCTCCCCAAGAGCAGGCAGCTCAATCACATCGTTTACCTGGACCTTGCCCTGGAGCAGAGTGCCTGTGCAGACGGTACCCTGGCCTTTTATTCCGAAACAATGATCAACGTACATGAACAGCGGATCGGTTAGGTTTCTTTGCGGCTGGAAGTAGGCTTCTCTTAGTGCTTCTTGCAACTCCGAGATATGTGTTCCTTGCAAAGCAGACACAGCATAGATGGGCACTTGACCTCCGAATGTGGTGGCTTCCAAAGTCTTTGCAAGGCGCAAGCGTAGCTTCTCCAGCTTGGACGTCCTCTGGTCCGCTGAATAGACATCTATTTTGTTGATAACCACTATTAGCTTTTTCTGCAGCAACTCGCCGATAATCAGGCACTCTGCTGTTTGGGTTTGGATGCCTTTCTGGGCGTCCACCACAAGGATCATAAGATCAATGATCTGGGCACCTGCAATTGCTTAGGATAGATAAAGGTTCTTAGAATGAAATCAATATAAATACCTCCTATAATAGTGCGTATGAGACTTGCATGGCCTGGGCAATCGACAAAGGTAAACTGGAGTTGCTCTCCTTGAGGAAAGTGCGCGGGAGCTTCCACCAAAAGTCCACTGAAGCCCAAATCCAATGTTATTCCTCGCTCCACAGACTGCGGATTCTTGTCGAAGGCGGCCGTGCTGGACATTGAACTCAAGGCCTTGGCCAAGGTGGTCTTGCCGCTGTCAACATGTCCCAGCAATCCAATATTAAAGTTGATCGTCATTGTATGTCGATAAAAGTAAGGTAAATAAACTGCACATAACCAAAAACTACAAGAAAGCCAATTGAGATGGTAGTTTTTCGATTTTCTGAAACCCAATAACAGCGATGTTAATTAACAGAGAAATGCTTTAAATATGTAACAGCTGTTATCGACCGATAGCTGTGTTATGTGCGATCACAAGTGATCTAAAACGGGCTATCAGTTTACTAATTTCAGTTCTAACATCTGTAGAGATCAGTCTAAATTTGTTTTGGCATTGAAATCTTATCTTATTAATTGTTTTTACCGCCTTTATGTCAGCATTATAAGGCAGAAAAGTGGGGCATGCATACGATTAAATTTGGACCTAGGATCCAGCAAATACCCAGATAACGGTTGCGCCATAGCAAACTGTTCCCAAATAAAGAGCACTCGCACCGAAAGAGCAAAGATTACAAGTTTATTGACCGGTTGGTTTCACTTTTATTTATTGAAAGCCGTCGGCGGTTCGAAACTCAGTAAGCGATCGGTGCTCTTGGCGCGCAGTTCGCAGGTTTTTTAATCTAGTCGCTATGGCCACTTCCACTTCCGTAATTCCCAATTCCGTTATCCCCACCACCGTAAATCCCGATCTGCAAAAGGAACGCGATGCAGCCAGCTTTAACAGCGAAGAATTCGCCGCTTGGTGGGCGGGAGGAGAGGAGGTACTAAAGTTCAACCGCGGCGTTCGTAAGTCAATAAAACTAATCACCGCTCTAATCAGCGAGAACAGACAACTTGGGGCTCATGCTGACTTGGCTGTTTTCGCTTCGACTAGGTAAATATATGGAAAAGGATATAGATTTCTCGGAGATGCTGCAGCTGCAAAACAAAACGCACGAAGAGATCATCGAGTCCTCCACGCGGGGAGCGATTGATGGCGCCAAGAAGCTGCGTCGCCTTCAGGAGGAGCGCAATCCTGGCGGTGACGACTACTGGCCGTAGGTGTTTCTTGCTTACTGCCGCCAAGTGCTCGAATCAGGGCTGATTATCTTACTCTTCCAGGAACATGTATGAGAGTCAAGTTATGTGGGGTCTCGTTCCCGGTGGCAATCCTTTTGGTGTGATGTACGTGATGCTGGTGAAAGCTCTGCAGGCTCAGTGTACACCGGAGCAGTACGCAGAGTTCGGCAAGCGCCTGGAACGCTTCGAGATTTGCGGCACCTATGCCCAAACCGAGCTGGGTCATGGAACCTACCTGCGCGGGCTGGAAACTCGGGCTGACTTCGATCGGGAGACTGATGAATTCGTACTCAACACCCCCAAGATTTCCTCCTACAAGTGGTGGCCAGGAGGCTGTAAGTTCTGGCATAAATATCCAACTAGTTCCTAGGTATAATTGTAACTGTACCATAATCTTTCAGTGGGTCACAGTTCCAACCACTGCCTGGTTATGGCCCAGCTGTACATCGACAACAAGTGCAAGGGTCCGCACATGTTCTTCATTCAGGTGCGTGATGAGGAGACCCATGAGCCATTGCCTGGCGTTCACATCGGTGATATTGGCAAGAAAATGGGTTTCATTGGAGTGAACAATGGTTTCCTGGGCTTAAAGAACGTGCGGATTCCTCGTACGAGAATGCTGATGCGACATGCCCAGGTCAAGGCTGATGGCTCCTATGTCAGTAGTCCTATCAATGTGCTTACCTACTTCGCCATGGTGCGCACGCGTTGTGTAATTTCCAAAAGTAATGCCGTGATGTTGGCGGCGGCTGCCACCATTGCAACCAGATACTCGGCTGTGCGCCGTCAGAGCCCCATTAATCCCAAGTATGTTGTAAGCAACGTAGATACATTTATTAGAATTCAATTCTTGGTTACTTTCAGCGAACGTGAGCCTCAAATCATTGATCATGTTACACAGCAAATGAAGCTCTTCCCAGAGATTGCCACAAGCGTGGCCTACAGGCAGGCCAGTAATTACTTGTGGAATTTGTACGATGTGACCATTAAGGATATAGAAAACGGAAAATACGAGCGTCTGCCGGAGCTGCATTCGCTGTCCTGTGCTTTGAAAGTTACCTGCTCCACGGATTCCACTACTGGTGTAGAGAAATTGCGACTGGCCTGTGGTGGTCACGGATACCTTACCTCATCCAACATGAGCAACATATACGTTGCTGCCACCGCGGCCTGCACCTACGAAGGCGAGAACACCGTTTTGCTTCTGCAGATCGGTCGCTTTTTAATGAAGACTTGGCGAGCTGCGTTGACTGGAGCTCCGTTGCCGCCAACCGTTCGCTATTTGGCCGAGGTACAAAAGAATCCGGAATTTGGCAGCTGGACAGGTAGTTGGGAGAACATGGTTAAAGCCATGCAGTATGCAGCTGCCAATAGAACACGGTTGGCATTCAAAAGCTTTTCCAACCGCCTGTCAAGGGGCGAAACTGAAGCTAACGCAGCTAATCACACGGGCATTGAGTTCACCCAGGCGGCGGAGGTTGGTTTGTTGAAGTTATTTGGACTTTGCACTACTGATTTCTAAAAAACTCCTAATATTTTCTTGCCTCTAGCTCCACGGACGTGCCTTTGTTTTCAGTGCTTTCACCGAAGTGGTAACCGGTCCTAAATCTAAGACGCGCTCAGCTAACTTCAATAGGGTCCTCGAGAACCTGTTGGAGCTGTACCTGGTCAAGGAGACACTCAATCAGATGGGTCACCTGCTGAGAGTGGGTTTCAGTTATATAGCCTAGGATGTGTTGAGTTTTAACTTAATATTTCTTTTTATCACAGTTCATTAACCTGACCGATACGGATCTGACCCGGCTGCAGGATCGTTTGGAAACTGTGCTCACCAAACTGCGACCTGATGCTGTGGCCATTGTGGATGGCTTCGACTTCAGTGATCTCCAACTGAACTCTACTCTGGGCTCTTACGATGGCAATGCCTACGAGCGTATCTTTGATGCGGCCCTCAAGAATCCGATGAACCAAAAATCGGTGCCTAAATCCTTCCACGAGGTCTTGAAGCCTTTCATGAAGTCAAACATCTAGTGCCTTGGCAGCTTTATATTAAATCCCCTATCTAGAGCTAAGCTCAATCTAATGTTTTGTAAATACCCCAAATGTGTTGGTGCTTTGAGTGATCATAACCTGTTTTTTCTTATATTTGTAAATAATACTCTTAAATAATTTATATCCAACATAAACCGCTCTTAAAATGAATTCTTTGCCAAGCATAAACACCTACTCTTGGCTAAGTTTTGTCGATCAGCTTTCTCTCTTGAAAAGCTGACTTGTGCACTTTGCCCCCCGAGAGCTTTTCCTTCTCGCCGATCCATCCACTTTCGCTCAGTAGTCGCGTGGAGCTCACAGCTGTTGGTTGGATCAAGTGGTGGACCCCAGTTTAGTTGTTAACCATTTCGTATTTACTTTTTACACACAACAATGTCGCACATTAAAAACCTAATACCGAGCACAGTGAATCCAGATCTTCAGAAGGAACGCACTGGAGCGGAGTTCAATGTGGAGGAGTTTTCCGCCTGGTGGCACGGTGGTCAAGACAAACTGAAGAAGAAACGCGAGATTGGTAATGGCCCAAGATAAAAATCAATAAAGTCACGCCGGTGTTCGTGATATGGCACAGGTTTTGGTCTATAAAAGCTTCTTTGCCAAAAAAGTCGGGGTCCAAAAAGATAATCAAATGGCCCGAAGTCCAAAAATAATTAAACATTGTTGAGCAGCTGAATTAAAACTGCTGCGCTATCAATAATAAAAGACAGTGATAGCAGTTGTGGTATCTTCGATGGCCTGCAACTGCAAATACGCTAGTTTCTTATCAGTTTAAGGGGCTGATCCACGCCCCCCGGTGATAACGACAGGCACAGTCATACACTTATAAACCGAACCATTATGTTTATGATTGATTCAATCTTTTATTGCCACCACTTATGTTGCTTATAATAGAAAGTAGTAAAAAAAAGTGTGATTTCGAATCAACAGAAAAAGCCCTCTTCAGCGATCTTGAGGATGGGTATGGTCTCAACCATGAGTACATGTCCCACGAGGAGGTCTACAATTCCAGTGTGAAGAAGGTGGCCGAGGCAGCAGTTAAGCTCAAGGCTCTGCAGAACAAGCTTAATCCTGGAGGAACCGACATCTGGCCGTAAGTTCAAAAGGCAAGTTTGTAAGAGGTTTCTTTAATCTTATCTGTGCCTGCCTTGCAGTGGAGGACTATTCAATGCACAGAGCTTTGGACTTTTTCCGGCTAATCATCCGGTTGCCACCCACATCACCATGTTCGTGGATGTGATCAAAGGTCAGGGCACTCCCGAACAGGTGGAGAAGTGGGGCAAGGCGGCGGAGAACTGCAACATTATTGGCACCTACGCCCAAACGGAGCTGGCGCATGGAACCAATGTCCGTGGCTTGGCCACTCGGGCTGACTTTGATCCGAAAACGGATGAGTTTGTGCTGAATACACCGAATTTGGAGGCCTATAAGTGGTGGCCAGGGGGCTGTAAGTAGTAATATAATATATAAATATACATTTAACCCATCTTGATGTTCTTTAGTGGGACACACTGCCAATCATGCCATGGTGGTGGCTCAACTTTATATCGCTGATGTGCATCATGGCGTGCAAATGTTTATTGTGCCGTTGAGGGATTCAGAAACTCACATGCCACTGCCGGGAGTTGATATCGGGGAGATTGGCAAGAAGCTCGGCATGGCATCCGTGAATCAGGGCTTCCTGGGACTGAACCAAGTCCGAATTCCGCGCACCAACATGCTGATGAAGTTCGCTAAGGTGGAGCGGGACGGCACCTTCAAGGCCAGTCCGGCATCCAGGATTAACTACCTGACCATGGTGTACACGCGCTGCTTGATCGTTAGCCAGAACTCCACGCTGCTCCTGGCGGCGGCTACCATTGCCACAAGATACTCGGCGGTGCGGCGTCAGAGTCCCATTGAGCCCAAGTAAGTTGCGATGATGCTCGCAGGAATTGCTGACAATACATTTAAATCCTTCATGTGTACGCGTCTACAGCCAACCGGAGCCCCAGATCATAGATCATGTGACCCAACGCCTTAAGCTCTTCCCAGAGATTGCTACGGGAATCGCCTACCACTTGGCCACCGAGTACGTGTGGGAGATGTATGACCAGACGGTACAGGAAGCCAACAATGGCAAGTTCGAGCGACTGCCCGACATGCACATCCTGTCCTGCGCTCTTAAGGTCCTCTGCACCACTGACGGATGTGCTGGCATTGAAAGACTCCGCCTGTCCACTGGAGGACATGGTTACCTCACTGCTGCTAACTTGAGCAACATCTACGGCAATGCTGTGGCTGCCTACACCTACGAAGGCGAGAACACGGTGCTCCTTTTGCAAATCGGACGGGCTTTAGTGAAGGCATGGGCATCGTTTGTGGAAAAGAAACCCCTGTCCGCCTCCTACAGCTACTTTGCGACCTCCATGCAGCTGAAGGAGTTCCCCAAGTGGGACGACTCCTGGCAGTGCATCATCAAGGCTTTGCAATACACGGCTGCACAGTGAGTTTGTCTTAAAGGCATCTTTCCAACCATTCGCTAACATGATTCATCTATAGGAAACCCCGCATTGCTTTCGAGAATCTAGCGAATCGCATGGCCAGCGGTCAGTCTCAAGGTGTGGCGGCCAATAACACGGGAATCGAACTGACACGTGCAGCGGAGGTAAATACACTGAACGAATTCAGAGATGTCCACGGAGGAGCCTTTATCTGACACACATTTAAACATATTTCAGCTGCATGGTCGGCAGTTCGTGTGCCAGACATTCCTGGAGCAGATCACTGGTGCCAAGGCCCAAAAGCGATCCCCCGCTCTCAACAAGATTTTGGAGAACGTGCTGGAACTATTTCTGGTCCAAACTGTGCTTAACAACCTCAATGACATTTTAAGAGTGAGTTTGCCTCTCAGTGCCACTTAAATCATAGTAAATTATGCCAATTTGTTTGCCAGTTCATTAGCCTCAGCGATGCGGATCTGCGATCGCTGCAAAAACGCCTGGAGGATTCACTGGAGCAGTTCCGACCCAATGCGGTGGCCATATGCGATGGGTTTGAGTTCCACGACCGTGTGCTCAACTCTGTGCTGGGCAGCTACGATGGCAATGTGTATCCCAGGCTCTTCGACTCGGCCAAGCGCAGCACCATGAACCAGAAGCCTGTCCAAACATCCTTTGAGACCTACCTGAAGCCCCTAATGAAGGCTAAACTGTAAAGCAAACACGGCCAAGTGATGTGTATAGAGTGTAATATTGAAAGAGAAACTACGTGTTTTGTTTAAATTAGTTTTATACCAGTTTTATTTAGCAAATCAAAACCAATTTCTCAGTACATTCAGCGCATTTTAAAAAACTAACAAACTAAACGCTTACAAAGTAGCAAAAAAACTTGATGTAAAATTTGACAAAACGTACTATGGGTCGAGAGTTGAACAAACATAGTACTTGTACATATCAAAAAAGTTGCGGTTGCGTTTTTTACAGTGTAGAAAAAGTTGTGTTCAGAAAAGTGTTTTAGTTCCTGTTGCTGCTGTTGCTCATGTTTTCGTGTTTGTTTGGGTTTGGGTTTGTGTGTGTGTGAGTGTGCATGTTTTTTGTGTGAGAGTTTCAGTTTGGATTCCGGAAAGGGGAAAATAGTTTTCACTTCTGATGATGTTCGAAAGTACCCTTTGTTATATGCTCTGCTGTCGAAGTAGTAGTAGGTTTAATTCATTATTTATGCATTATACACAGTTACACACACAATTGATTTATGTTGCTAATTATATACTTATATGTTATATATTAGTTTTCGTTTTTCGTAACTTCTTTTCGCAATGAAAATATGGCATGAGAGTTGGAGAGAGAATATTGGTTGACTAACAATTAAACAAGTATTGCAGCTAATTGATTGGTTGTATGGGTGTATGGGCATGTGTGAGTATAACATTTGTTGCTGGACTGCTTTGTTTTAGTTTAATTTGAGTTCGCCTTGTAAACTTAACAATTAATTTTTACTATTGCATGTGATTATGATCTGTTGCTGTGGTTCTTGTTGTTGTTGTTGTCGCTCGTATTCGCTCTTGTATTTTGCTTGCAAAACTAAACAATTGTCAGTGACAGCGAACGTAAAAACTAAATAAATGCACAATAATTAATGCGTTAATCCGATTTTGATTCTTAGCCATGGAAGAAGCAGTTGAGTCAAGCGAAGGAAATCTCGAATAACTCTAAAACCCAAGTGGAAACCTAAATTAATGTACAATTGCTTTCTCGTTGACGACTTATCAATTCATTTCCAATTCAATTTTAATTTCAGTTTCATTTCAATAAATATTCGTGGTTTTGTGTTTTCTAGAAAAAAGTAGAAATAGTCCTTTTCATTTCATTTCAATTCTGTTTGTTTTTAGTTGCCAGGAAGGTTCACAGTGTTTTTAGAAATCTGTTTTTGCTTGATTTAATATTTTTCGTTTTTTCTTTTTGTTTTGTTTGTTTTAGGAATTACACTAATAATTACATATCTCCGCTTATGTATAACTTAAAAACATTTATGCATCGATTTCCGCTTGCTATGTGCCGCACAATTCATAATTATAATATTTTCATTGGACTTCGTTTGACAATTGATTGTTAAAATAAAAGTGTTAAGTGTGTGGAGGTTCGACGAGGGGGTCTATAGAGAGTTGAGAGATAATCGTGATGTATCCAATTCGCTTTCGTTATTCAGCTAACATATATAATCCATACATTTATATTCAATATGCACGAAAGTTGCCTTTTACATCTATGTAGTTGGATGCGCGCGTGTGTGTGTATTATTATAGTTATTATTCAATTTTCTCCTGCTCTTTCTGCTTTTGCTCTACTCGTAATTCATAATTAATTCGCTTAATTTTGCCCGCCCTTATATTGGTTTCACTATTTATATATAATATATTATTTATATATATTAAATTTCGCATGATTTATTTGCAATTATATTTGATATTTTTGTTGGTTTTTGTCGCTTAAAACTTACTTAAATAGAAAAGTCGCATACACACCCACACACGCAGAGAGTCGGTTGTCTGTCTGTGTGTGTGTATTTTGCATTAACTTACAGGTAAGTTTTCATTTTTTTGTTTTCTTTTCGTTTTTCCTCGTTATTATATTGCCGATTTCGTGTTTTTTTTTATAGTTTTAATTTAATTTACCCCTCACGAAAAATTGTGTCTGTTT